GAATCTTTCATCATTTTTTTTTTGAAGATTCTTCAATCATTTGAGACGTTTCATCGAATCTTTTGGAAACAGTCTAGAATTTATCATCATTTTTTCTCGAAGATTCTTCAATCATTTGTGGCACATTTTTTATTTTTGTTAAAACTGCTTCCTCCGCTGACTGGAACTGGAATATCTCTGGGTCGTCTCCATTCTTGTTGAGAACAGTCTGCAGTCGTTCTTGGAGTATCTTTTTGGACCCGCTGCAGTTTTCATCGCGTTCTTCTAGTTGCTCACGCAACTGTTTCACTGAAAGTTCTACTAGCAGCATCTTTGGTCAGGCACACACGTACTTTTTAAATGTTCTTTCGTACAACGATCACTACCGAACAACGCGGATGTTCCCGACGAACACTACTTTTCAAAAGTTAAAAAGTCTTTTCGTTTTCAAAGTCACTGCTGAATTTATTTTTTAATAAATCAATTATTGTCCTCACACTGTGACACCAATTGTAGCGACATTAAATAAAACGAGCGGTTCGAATTTATATAAATATATTTATTTATAACTTTACAGTTCGGTACTATCTTATCAACTAAACTTAACTCCTAATTTCGTTACCTATATATACCAAAGTTACTATGTTCGAGAATATTCAGGAGTAGTCCCATCTCTAATTCGTTATCTGACGACGGGTGGAATTTTACAGCGCTTGATATATGACCGGTAACTTCTCGATCCTTCGAGATGCATCCGTTACATGGCCATGCCGAAAGCATGTTCGTAACAATACATTAACATACCAACATAAAGTAGTAGGTACATTTTGTTAGGAACCAGAATTTTCTTTTTTCAGGAAGAAATATTCGTAATTACTTTTTGTGAAAAGATATTAGATGCTTCCTTAAACCTGACGTGTTTCTGTTTTTCATTTTCATTTTAACCTTTCTATGTAGGCACAATTTACACAATGCAATTTGGGATGCATGGACTATTTCGAAAAACTCATTAAATTTGCTGTTAGATCTTTTAGATCTATAATTCCAACGCTCTCTACTCCGACTAAAACTATTTGAATCTTTGTCCTTCATGTCAAATTGTAAACTTCAAAGAAGTTTAGTGATGTCGAAAAAGTAACTACTACTATAAATGTCCGTTACTTTTCAATACTGTAAGTATCTAATAACAAACCGAGAATTATATATCGTCACTGGGTTATTCTAAATATTTGGGTATGTTGTTTAGGCGGTAGGCGACATTATCTGGTATTAATTTGTCTCGTAACATTTAAATATTAGTCGCGCTCTTTCAAAAAATTTTGTTTAATTGAATGATCTCATCGCACACTCAGCAGAAACAATGTTTAGTCTTAGGCCGATAAGATTTTTTTATTTAGATTCGTCCTAACTAAATTATAATGGAAAAAAATTAAATTATTAAGTGGGTGTCCCCAGCAATAAGTGTTATATTTTTTATTAGTTAAGGTGACATATTTTTAAAAAACTTCGATACGATATTACTGTCGGCATCGCAATGCAAGATTATTTTATGATTAGACAGCGGCTATTCTCAAAATCTGGACAATTAATTTCAGAACGAAGAAGTCGCATGCTGAAAAAGAATGTACAAAATATTTTATTTTTACATTCTAACCCATTAATGCCCAGATTATTTTTTTCCAGTTTTTAATGTGATGCTAATATTTTTTTGGGAGCAGTTTGATTAAAAAACATAAAAATAAATGAATTTGTGCATTCGGATTTATAGATCACTCAATATATGACGTTACATATATGTAACGCTAGGAGCTAATGGGTGCAAAAATACAAAATATAACTGCAAACAGTTTTATTTATTTAAATACGGAAAATAAAGAAAATGGAATTTAAACATTTTGGTTTGTATGATAGGTAACGAAACAATCGATACAAAGACCTACGTTACATTTCCTACATATCGTGCGTGTTGAACTTTTGCAAGATGTTCCAGCACAGCGCCTTCTTTTGTCAATTGGAATTTTAGCCACTAGGTGGTCCATCCTATCATATCTAACTTCATCGGCTGCTCTTTGCGCATTAGAAGATGGAGATGGAGTTTTGCCAGTGCCTTTGGACGGTGACGAATATTTCTTCAAATGAACTTTCACGATAGCCCTTCGAAAATCTATTTGGGACATCTGAGAGTTGTTTGATTTTCGATACAAACACCACGCGTTATTGACTGAAACATCAAGAAGCCATGAAAACAATGCCCAGTACCATTTCCTGTTTCTAATTTGAATCCTGTACTGTCCAACGTTCTGATCCATTCGATCAGTACCACCCATTTTTTTGTTATATGCTGCAAATACTGCTGGTCTGCTAACTTGTATGTGTTTTTTTTCTTTTTGCGAATAACGTCTAACATTTGTTATTGGATTGATACCATATTTATTGAAGGCAATGCAAACTACGGAATTATCGGCCCACTTAGCTACTAGTACAGCATCTGTCTTACTAATAACACTTTCATAATATCCCCTTTCCTGTTTGTGAAGATCTTTTTTGGCCAATAAAGGGCAGCTCCTAGGTAAACGATTTTCTCTTATAGTCCCCGTGCCTCCGTATCCTTTTAAACGTAAATAAGACAATAAACTGAATGTAGTAAATAAATTGTCAAAGTAAAATGAGAATGGAAAAGATTTCAGATTATCAGGTAGTTCTTCTATCATTTTCACCAGTGGTGCTGCCGCTTTTCCAAAGTTTCTTTCTATGTCAATATCAGGAGTTTAAGATTTTCCTTGATATATCTCGAAATCAATCAAATAGCCCATCACTGTATTTAGGCACCAAACTTTATAACCAAATCGTATGGGTTTGGCTCTTAAAAATTGCTTGCAGCTATGTTTACCGTAATATTTGACCATACTTTCACCAAAAGCCAGATCTTTTTCAGGAACAAAATACTTTCTGAACCTGTCTTTCACTTTATTTATAAATGGCCTTAATTTCCAGAGCTTATCACTTTTATCAATATTTGCGTTAGAGTTCAAGTGAATTAGCCTCAAAATTTGCTCAAACCTGTTGCGTCTCATAGAATTATATATAAGTTCGTTTCTGGTGTCAACGCTTTGCTCCCAATACATACGTTTGCTGGGAAGATCATTATAACCACTGAGAATCAGTATAGCAATAAAACATTTCATTTCCTCTGGCGAGACTCCTGGGTCGGGTAGGTTGTTAAAAGTAGCATATTGGTTTGTTTCCTGTACCAAAAATAAAATGATTTCTTCATCTATGAACATTTCGAATATATCTACAACTGATTTGTTTTCAAACAGTGAATAATCTGACTCAGAAAATTGTCTCTCGTTATATATGAAATCTCCCGAAACCCAATCCCGGGCTGCAGAAACTTTTGGATAAACCATATGAGCAGGTGTAATATCGATATCATTATTTGTCAAAGAAATGTTACCTTCTGTCGATTCTGGCGGTTGAATAGAATCATCTTCTCCCAGTATAATTCCATTAGTAGTCCTAACTTCTGCATCGGCAAGTAGCTGACGTTTGCTCAAATTGTCCAAATCTCCGCCCTCGTCATCATCTCCGGAATCCTCATCCGTCAGAGTAGCCGGATCCGGTGGCGCTATATAAACTGCCTTTATAAAGTCATCTATCCCGTCGTATTCTCCAAAGGCTATATCGATAGCTTCTTGAACAGTCAGGTCTCTTTGAAGAACTGCAGCAAGGCCTCTGAAATAAAAAAAAACAACTTAGTAGGTACATACTGCATTTTTAAATTTCCTGAAGTCCTATAAACACTCTGTATACTAATATTTTGAAAAATATTATTAAAAATACCATACAATGAAAACAAAATACGTAATACATCCGTACAAAATAACTGTAAAATATGCTTACATTACATCCTAGCGTTACAAATATGTAACAGTCAACTTCCTAACCTAGCAACTTTTTTATTTGAAAAAATATCAAAGCTTTTTTACACAAAAAATATACATTTATATTTACTTTTACTATTTGTTTTCTAATATTAACGTTATTATACAAAATGAGATTTATATACTTACTCTTTATCGACGAAGTCCATTATTTGAAGCTTTATTTGTTTAGTTATACTTTATCGAAGCACAAACTCAAAACAAAGTTCTAATAAAATAGCACACTTCAAACGATGTAAACAGTATAACCTTCTGACAAGAACTGACCTGTTTTCGACTGAAAATTTGCGACGTATGCAACAGAGGATCTATTTAGATGGCACCACTTTGCGTTACATAATTGTAACACTAGGCACTAATGGGTTAATTATGACGTCTGACCACGTGTCAAATGTGTTTTTTTAATGAACATTTTGATTCGGTATGTATGTTTAGAGTATTGTTCGTAATGCACATAAATCCAGTTATTCAAATTTTTTTGCGTCTCATAGAGTATTTAAGCATATACCCGAACTACTATACTCGCTAAAACGACACTCAGTCCAAACTGCAAGAAGCAAGAGTCCTGCAGGCTTAGTCTCGTTCTAGCGTAAATCTTGCACGGTCAGTCTTGGTCTTGGTCTTGCGAAAATGCAAGAACAAGACCAAGACTGCAAGACCAAGACCGATTTTGGGCAACACCAATACAAATACGTACCGAACGCTTATAAGCGACGGAGGCACCCGAGCAAAATATATAGTGACTCTTATAAGCGTCAAATGTATCCAAAATGTTAACTAAACAATAAAATTTAAAAACTATTTCAATTTCATTTTAATTTTGCGTACACATTATAATTGGCAGTTGGAGATAAGTAAAAATGAAGAGGCTGATACAAAAAAAAATATTAATCTATTAATTATTCAGAATAACGATTTTTCGACTCTGATATATCTTTTTCGTTAGTTGTTTGAGGCTAAATTTGTCCACGTTGGTCTTCAAACGTACTTTCAACGAGTTGCCGTAATCTTCTTGTTAAATTAATTAAAATTTAAATGATTAAGTTTAATTTTATCTCATAATTTTTTTTGTTACAGGGCCCCATTGTCACATTATGGTATAGACTCCTTGCCAGAAAGATTGGCACTACAGGCAATCTTGTAACTATTAAAAAAGTAATCATCGATCAATTTGTTTTCGTACCATTCTTCCATTTCGGCTTGCTGACCACACTTAACACTTTACATGGTCACAACATTAAAGTCCTTAATGATCAATTGAGATTAAAATATTTAGATATACTTTTTGCAAGTGTTCGATTGTGGCCCATTGTACAATTGATTAATTTTAGGTTTACACCTTTAAACTATCAAGTTTTAGTGAGCCAGAGTATTGCGTTATTTTGGAATGTTTACATATCTTGGAAAACTCAACAAGGCATTAATAAAAACACAAGTAGTAAACATAAGGACACGGACAAATGTATTTTACTGTCGAAAGCTGTTTAAAAGATTAACGTTTAGAAAAAGTCAAGCTTCATAATTTACACAATAATGTATGACTAAATCTAAATTAATAAGATTCTTGTTTTTTGACTATTTTACTATTTTAAACGTTTAGACCAAATACTGTATTAATCAAAACTCAGTATTTATCTTTAGGCTGCTTGTTAAAGTCTCAACTATTTATTATATTTGAGGGTATACAAGGTAACTATCGAACACGGTGATTAATTTAATCTTGCCCAAGTACTTTCGATCAATAGATCATCTTCAGGGGCATTTCGTCAGTTGTGGCCTATCCGGCATAGTAGAATATCATAAATGTAAAATTTGGACATAACAATACAAAATACAATACACTAAGACAAACAAACACTTTAAAATTTATAAGGAGAAGCTACATGTTGTATAGAAGCCGGAGACAGAATCTTCTATACAACATGTAGCTTGTCCTTATAAATTTTAAAGTGTTTGTTTGTCTTAGTGTATTGTATTTTGTATTGTTATGTCCAAATTTTACATTTATGACATTCTACTATTTCGGATAGGCCACAACTGACGAAATGCCCCTGAAAATGATCTATTGATCGAAAGTACTTGGGCAAGATTAAATTAATCACCGTGTTCGATAGTTGCCTTGTATACCCTCAAAGTTTAATTATTCGAACATTCAACCTTATATTTATTTATTATATCTTTAACTACTTTATATTTACGTGATGTTACTTACTTTACTGTTAACATACTATGTTAATAAATATTTATTAGTTATTTCATTAAGTTTTAAGAAATTAATCATCCAAAATCACGCAAAATTATCCAAAATAAATAATTAGCGGCACATAAGAAAATATGTTTTCTTGCTGGTCACTTTACATTGTAACAATAGAATATTATATCACACCCTCAGTGCAAGACTGCACTAACTCAAAATTTTATGAAAATGAAGTAATCATGGAATTCGATTGTAAACATGCATATCCCTTGTAAAACTTTAGTAACTTTCAAATGCTTAACCGGCTAAATATTACAACAACAGTTTAACTATTTTACGTTTTTGTAAATAAGTTCCGTGCAAAACTCTAATGTAACAGAGTTACAGCAGTTTTGCACGGAACATTGCAATGGTTTTGATAACAAGCAATTGAACGGCACGAAAAAAGTAAGATATTTCTTATTTTAATATATATATATATATATATATATATATATATATATATATATATATATATATATATATATATATATATTTCTTATTTTAATACATATATATATATATATATATATATATATATATATATATATATATATATATATATATATATATATATATATATATATCCTCATCATCATCATCATCATCATTATCAGCGTATTCTACCAATTATGGTGCAGCCTCCCTTACATAGTCGTTCTTCATGTCTGCCCACGACTGTCTAATATTCGCTTTTCTGTGCCATGTTGTACCGGCTTGTTTCCTTATGTCATAGTCCCATCTTAAATTTGGACGTCTTCTTGGTCTCTTGACGCCTCTTGGATACCACAGAGTAATTCTAGTGGACCATCTATTGTCAGTTCTTCTTGCTAAATGTCCCGCCCACTGCCATTTTAAAGATTTTATTCGGTGGATTACATCAGTGACCTTCGTTTTCTGTCTGATCCATTCTATTCTTTTTCGATCTCTCTTGGTTATACCTAACATGCATCGCTTCATTGACCTTTGAGTGACTTTGAGTTTAGCTATTATATCTTTCTTTAGTGTCCAAGTTTCGCAGCCGTATGTCATGACTGGTAGTATACATTGATCGAATGCCTTTTTCTTCAGGTGGAGTGGCATCCTAGATTTGAATATAACTGAATTTTTACCAAAAGCTGCTCAAGCCAGTTTCATTCTTCTGTTGATTTCTGGGAGTAATGAGCCAGATTTATGTATTAATTGTCCCAGGTATATATACTCGTCTACTGTCTCCAGTGCAGTATTATTTATTATTACATCTTGGACATCCACTAGCTCGTTGTACATGGTTTTTGTTTTTGTCAAGTTCATTTTTAGGCCAACTTCATTGCTAGCTGCATTTAGGTCGCTTATAAGTTCTTGTAGTTCTGCAGGATTTTTAGCAATTAGAACGATGTCGTCTGCAAATCTTAGATGGTTGAGGTATTCTCCATCAATGCATAGGCCTTTGTTTTGCCAGTTCATTTTGCTGAATATATTTTCTAGAGTTGCAGTGAAGAGCTTTGGTGATATAGAGTCTCCTTGTCGGACGCCTCTAGTAGTGGGAAATTCTGGAGTGTTTTCATAAATTTTTACCTTAGCTTTTGCTTGTCTGTATATATTTGCTAAAGTTTCTATGTAAGGTTTGTCAATGCCTTGGTTGGTCAAAGCTTCTATTACTGCCTTGGGATATATAGAATCGAAAGCCTCGAAATCTATGAAGGTTAATGCTAGCGGTATTTCATATTCTTTAGCTCTACTCATTAGTTCTCGAAGCGTGTGGATATGATCCATGGTACTGAATCCACTTCTGAAGCCAGCTTGCTCTCTTGGCTGTGCAGCATCTAATGCATTTGTTAATCTGTTGTTGATGATTTTTGTGAATATCTTGTATATGATTGGTAGTAGACTTATAGGTCTGTAGTTTTTAATCTCCTCTTTATTACCTTTCTTATGGATCAAAATTATGTTTGCCGTATTCCAGTGGTCTGGTATGCATCTTGATCTTCGACAGTTCGTAAATACACCTGCTAAGATGTTCTACGTCTTTTTGCCAGCGTATTTAAGCAGTTCGACTGTTATGCCATCAATTCCAGCTGCTTTACCGCTTTTCATTTTTGAAATTGTCGATTCTACCTCTTCCGGAAGGACTTCTGGTACATCTTCGTGGTTACTGATTGCTTCTTCAAGCGTTTCAGGGGCTTTGTATAGTTCGCTATAGAATTTAGTCACGAGTTGTATTATTTCATTTCTGTTTGTAATTCTGGTGTTTTCGTTTGTTAGAGCCACGATTTGCTTCTTCCCAATAATTAGTGCTTTTCTTTTTTCTTATAGTTCTTTCTGTTTTCGATTGCATTTTCTACCAGCCTTTCATTGTATTTTCTTATGCCTTCCTTAATACCTTTTCTTATTGTCTTACAAAGTTCTGTGTATTGTATTCTCTGTACGCTGCTAGTTACTTTCATTCCCCTTCTTTGTTTTAGCATTGTTTTTGTTTTATTAGATAGTTTCCTATGTTCGTTTTGTTCTTGCGGGCCTCCGATTTCTTTGGCACTATCAAGGATGATTTGCATTAATTGAGAGCTGTCGATTTGATCATGTAATCTGTCATCAATTGTCCTTTGATACTGACCTAAGTTTTCTTCTAGATTACTAATATTTATACCGGTTATTGTTGGTTTTGCGATTAATTTTATTCTTTCTAGTTTTAGGTCTAGAACAATTTTTGCTCTGAGTAGTCTATGATCGCTGCCTGTTTGAAATTTATTTATTACACTGACGTCTTTTATTGTAGCAATCTTGTTGGTTAGAATGAAGTCAATTTCGTTCTTAGTGATTCCATTTGGTGCTACCCAAGTCCATTTTCTGTTCGACTTTTTCTTAAAGAATGTATTTGCAATAGGCATATTTTGGTAGTGAGCAAACTGAACCAGTCTTTCTCCCCTTTCATTTCTCTCACCGACTCCATACTTTCCCATGACTTGTTCTTTGTCGTTTCTCTTTCCTACTTTGGCATTAAAGTCACCAATTAAATACTTAAAGTGACTTTTGTTGTTATTTAATGCTTCAGTTATGTTACTGTAGAGTTCTTCTATTTCTTCGTCAGAGTGAGTGTAATTGTTGGGGCGTATATTTGTATAATTTGTACAGTATATCTCCTTGATAGTTGTAAAGTTAAGCTGGCTACTCTATCCGAGATACTAGTTATTTCTACGATTCTTCGTTTCCATTTTTTGTTGATCAGGAATCCAATACCACCTGTTCTGCCCGTTAATGTTCCTCGGTAGTAGAATGTGTTTCCTGACTCTAATTTCAATAGTTCTTCATCTTTCCGTCTTACTTCACTGATTCCTATGACGTCCCATTTTATATGATCAGTTTCTTTTTCCAGTTCTACAAGTCTGGATTGATTTGATAGCGAGCGGCAGTTATATGTCGCTATATAAAGTGTTGTTGTTTTATTTGGGTAGCGGTTTGAACTCCGTAGATTCTTAGCACCCTCTGCCCTCCTGGCTTGATCTCGAAAGCTACCCATTTCAGGGCCATTTGGGCCTACGGAGAATGAGGGCCATGATTTGAATTTATCTTTCATGGAAGGGGTTGTGAGGCGTGCCTTACCACGCTGCCTCAGTGCGGGTTGGTAAGGGTTCGCTGGTGTGTTTCGATTATAAGGCGCCGAAACTCGCCTTTCACCCTCCTCCTTCTGCTATACAACGTACTCTCACAATACGCCATATATTGCCCGGGGATTACGTGACTTATGTCTTCGTGGACGTAGGAGGTAGGATTCGTTGGTAGAGCTGGCTGACTTTTTAGATCAGCTGTGACTCATTCGTCACTCTCATTTAGGCATTTACCGGAGATTTTAATGGTTTGCTCTTACCAGCAAAAGAACAACCACCTCTCCGATACCTATACCAACATTTAATCCAACATTTAAACATATTATATATATATATATATATATATATATATATATATATATATATATATATATATATATATATATATATATGTATATATATATATATATGTATATATATATATATATATATATATATATATATATATATATATATATATATGGTGTTTAATTTTAATATACAGCGTGTCTACATAATCCATTAACAACCGAGACAATCAACAAAGATTTACGATTTACCAATTTATTCTTGTAAGTTTATATCCTGTGTGTGGTGTGACATTATATTTTCCATAAAATGTGTGCGATGTCATTTTACCATTTATTTATTAGATTGGATTAAAAACACATGAATTAAGACTAATTATTTACAGCTAAAAAGTATTTTTTCTTATAAAAAAAATCAGTTATCTTAAAACTTGTTTACTAACAATACTGACCGGTTAAAAATATCTATTCTCAGAAAACTTGTTCTATAAAAACTAAATCTCA